AGCTTTTCCTTCAACTATTTCCTGCTTTCATTAAATCATTTCTCGGGACACCTGCATGTCCCCCTCCCTCCAGCAGAGTCAACCTCTCAGAAACAGCTCACAGTAGTAATAAAGCAGCAGCGAAAACATTTTTACGGTTGGCGGCAAAGGAGAACATTTAAAAAAGCCAGCTAGAATCACAACACAGGGCTCCCCATCCCACCCTGAGAGCTCTGCAAAGGAGCCACCATGACCTCTGGTGGCATCAGGGCAGTTTTTGAGTCAATCTGTCAAGGCCCCATTCAGTAGAGTGAACAGGAAGGCGCCCAGAAGTGGCTGGGTCGGATTTCCCACATTTTGAAGTGAAGCAATACAATGGGAGTGGAGGAAATGATTGACAGCAAGACCCTTAAGTCCAAAATTCTTGAAATAACCTAGCTGCACAACTGCCAATCACTTAACCTTAAAACCGGCGTAGGTTTGTGCAGGACGAGGTGAGACTTTGAGCTTCCCTGATCCCACGCCATGTAGGGTTTTGAAGGCTACTCAAATGGTGCTCAGAACCGGACCAGGAGAGAGTACAGCTGTTCAGAATGACTGCCTTAATAAGTTTGGATTTGAGAGCTGCTCTCCTCCCACCCCGCCTCGTTCTCAATTAACACTGGTTAATCCAGTTATTCATTCCTTAACTTGGGCTTGAAATGCTTTTGAAACAACGAGCTGCTTTTGACAATGGAGAGGCAATGAGTAGCCTGCTGCTAAGGCTATGCTTTGAGTAGGGGGGGTGCTTTCCCCCCCCCTCTGTTTTCATCAGAATGGAAGGCATTTTTATGTACAGTGGTACCTCTGGTTATGTACTTAATTCGTTCTGGAGGTCCGTTCTTAACCTGAAACTGTTCTTAACCTGAAGCACCACTTTAGCTAATGGGGCCTCCTGCTGCCGCCGCACCGCCGGAGCACGATTTCTGTTCTCATCCTGAAGCAAAGTTCTTAACCCAAGGTACTATTTCTGGGTTAGCTGAGTCTGTAACCTGAAGCGTCTGTAAGCCGAAGTACCACTGTATTGGCCCCCATGCAGGAACCATCTGAGCAAATGCAATTTTCATGTACCGTTAACTTTTCTATCCGTTTGCACGTCAGCAGGAAACCGAAAGTGGAGTTGGATCCATTGACTTCTTTCCCCTGGCTTTAGTGGAACAGGATTTTTGAACTAAGCACTTAAGAGAGAGTCTTTCAAACCCGGAGAGAAATCCTGTTGCACTGAAAGCTGGCGGGCAGGGTCAGGTCACGTTTTCTTAACTTCATGTACTGTACTTTAAAAAGTTTCTACAAGATTGATTGAACTTTGTTAAACATTTTAAAGAAAAAAAAGGACCACAAGTTCTGTAAAAGAGCCACTAAAAATAATAATAATAATGAAATTGTATAACATCTTGGCTTGGCGTCTCAGTTTATTGTGTTGATCTCCTTTTTTTTGTCAACTGCTGCCCTGCTAGATTAATGAAGTCTGTGCCCTGTGGCTTCCTGCACTAGGTGATGGGAAGAAAGGCCAAAGGAACTCAAGCAAGAGTAATTCTATGATGTCTATATCCTGCCTTTCCTCCATGGTCAGCAAAGATGGTCTTCATTTGCAGTTGGTACCCAAGCTTCTCTACTGCTCACAACAGGTTCTGACAACAGCTTTCTGTTGTGGAAGTACACTGACAACTCAGCAAAACACGTGGAGAAATAGGTCAGTGCGGCCCAACTGCTTCATCTGTCTCTGTTGCTCAATCGCTGTTTTCCTCGTTGCTGCCTTCCACCGGGAGCTGCCCCACCTTCGGCTGAATTGGGTCACCATCAACAAACCCTGGAGAAGGTGTGGTGCAGCAAGATTGCAACTCTTTGTGCCTCGCCAGCTCACCCAGCCTCTCGACTTGTTTTGATTTGCTCTGGGAACTCAGAAGCAATTTCTGACCGGCTGCAAAATGTTTACACTTGTGGTTTTTATCTGGAACGGAAAAGGGCTTCGAGCAAAGCACACAGGCAGCTCGGGCGTGAATTGGACACCCTCAACTGTGCTTGGAGAGGCTCCTTGGGTTGTGAAAGAGGAAAACACAGGCACAACACGTTGGGTTTTGCACCTCAATTATTCAGTGGAAATCTTTAATCCTGTTTCTTAATCAGAAATATGATACAACACTGGGTGCTTGCCATGGCAGCCCCAAAGCACACACATCACTTGTGAAAATGAGGTGCCAAATTACAGCTCTAGGGGAGTGCAGAGGGTTCTTCTGGGTAGCATCCATCTTTCTGAGGCAGCCATTCACAAACAGTACCAAATTTAAACAGGTTTCGAAGGAGAAACAAGAGATGTTGATGAACAATCTCAAATTCAGTTCACATCTTTGAATCAGCTTTTTTTTAAGGGCTCACAAAAGTTCAGCAGCATTTTAGTGCACATTTCTCCCAGAATACATATTTTTTCATGTGATATCCCATAATACACATTTCTGTATGTCGCTTTTACCGATGCATGCATTTTCTTTGGCACACTTTTCCCTTAAGTTATTTTTGTACACATCTTTTGGTTCGAGAACTGCACCCCCAAATTAAGAAATGCACCATTAAAAAAAAAATAGCTGCATTTGTGTCCCAGGTGGTTGCAGGAAGCATGAATTAGCTGGGTCTGCATTAAAATGCAAACCAAACCTAATTTCTCTCCCATCTCCAACACTTATCCAAAAATTCCTCAAGGCCCTCGTGGAGGAAAGGGAAGGCCACGGCAGCGAAATCAAGTTCCAAACTGGTTTTGCCTTGTGCAAATTCTCACTGCATGACTTGTCCAGGAATGTGACTGGCACAACTGCCAGGCAGCTCAAGGGGACTTGAGGGAAATGAATTGTCACATCCAAGCTGCAACTAGCACACTGTTTGGACACGGCAATGAATTTGGAATCACTGAAAGCAAGGCGGCAAGATCTAGTGAGGAAGGTTGTGCCTACTGGAGAAGGCTCAAGCTTAAAACATCGCAAATGGGGGGCAGAAGACTTAACCTTTTGCCATAGTGCCAGCCTTTGCAAACCTGGCACCCTCAGATGTTTTGGACTAAACCCCCCAGCCAGGATGCTGTTGTAGCCCAAAACATCTGGAAGGTATCAAGTTAGTGAAAGCTGGCACAATGCACTAATTGCTTCCTGCTGACTCTTGTGGCTGGCGATAGGTAAAGGTAAACGGACCTTTGACCATTAGGTCCAGTCATGACCGACTCTGGGGTTGCAGCGCTCATCTTGCTTTACTGGCCGAGGGAGCCGGTGTACAGCTTCCAGGTCATGTGGCCAGCATGACTAAGCTGCTTCTGGCGAACCAGAGCAGCACATGGAAACGCCGTTTACCTTCCCGCCGGAGCGGTACCTATTTATCTACTTGCACTTTGACGTGCTTTCGAACTGCTAGGTTGGCAGGAGCAGGGACCGAGCAACGGGAGCTCACTCCGTTGTGGGGATTTGAACCACCGACCTTCTGATCGGCAAGTCCTAGGCTCTGTGGTTTAACCCACAGCGCCACCCGCGTCCCCCTTGGCTGTTGATACGGAGTGACAAAATTGCATTCTCCTCTTTCAGTGGCAAAAATATGCCCTCTGTCCTTAAAGAGCTGCCTGCACTTTTGACACAAGGCTGCCTCCAAGCACCGGGCACCCAGCCTCCCACAGCTGCAAGCCAGTAGTTGAGAGCAAGCTGGGTTGTTGCAAGGAAACCTGTCCTTGTCTCCCGTTTTCCTTTTGAGAAGAAACCCTGCCCAAGACCTTAGCTGTGGAGCTTTTCAGAAACCCACCGGCAGGTTCAATCCCTAAGCACAGGTAGGTCTGCAAACAGACCCCTGCTTGAAACCCCCAGATCGCAGCTGCTAGTCCGTGCAGGTAATGCTGAACTAGACGTGATCAGTATTAGCTCGTAAACTGCATCCTATTTTCGTTTGCCTAAATGCATTTTTTTGGACAGTACCAAACAGAAATGCAGAGGACGCCTCCTTCCCCTATCCCATAATGCAAGATCGGAGGCGGACAAAGGGATGCACATATTCTGTTCTATTTTTACAGTCTGTGGTAGCCGAGTTCATCAGAAGGAAGTAGGAACAGAGAAGTGATAGATTATATATACCCACGGGAACACATAAACAAAGCTGGTTTCGCAGGAACCCCACTTCACACAAACCTAACTCGAGGAACAGCTGTAGAAGAAAAGCCCAGACTGGGAAAATAGCTCAGGAGGTGTCGTACGACGCCTCCTCTTTTTGGCTGAAGTTTGAAAATGATTGCCTGATTCCCCACTCAAGATGGCATTTCTTTCCTCTTCTAGTCACTTTTACCAATGCAATTTCCTGCGCCGCATTGCACTGCCATTTGTAAATATGAAAAGCAGGGACCTGACCTCTGGAGAAGGTCCAAGGTTCAGTCTGTAGCATTTCCTGTTAAGGCCCAGGGAGCCCCTGCTTGACAGCCACTCCAGCTTGGACAACACGAGACGAGATGAACCAGTGGTGTGGTTTGGAGCAAGACAGATTCCTATGCTATTTAACTCAGCTCCTTGTCAACAGCCATGAGGTCTAGGAACTTACTTCATTTTGAGGGGGAGAGCTGTAGTCCAGTGGCAGAGCTATTGGTTCAACCCCCAATATCTCCTGGCAAGGCTGGGAATGTCCTTTGTCTGAAACCCTGACACTCTAACCACTATGCTATGCTGCCTCTCCCTCTTTAGCAACGAAGAGTAAAGGAGAAATGAACATACACGAAGCTGTCCCTCTTGTTTCCTCGTCATGAGAGCCAGCTGAGCGTCCCCTGCGCGTGCACACAAAACATGTACATTTTGGGGCAACTCAATTCCATTTCTGTAAAAGGAGATTGCAAAGATTTCTTCTCGGCGTTGTCATGACGGCTCTAGTTCAAGAAAGATTCTTTGCCCTTAAAATGGGCTTTATAAAATGGCAAATGGGGTGATGGTCAAGGCCGAGGAAATCTTTTACAAAAGAAAGGGGGAACTTCATAAGTTAACAGAAGCAGTGCAGACAACAGGTTGGAGCCAACAAAGGCTGCATCCGTCCACACTGCTGTTTATTCAATTTCCACGACATTTCCTTAACTGCTAGGTTCTGCCATTACATTTGAGCTTTCACTCAACGTAAAAGCTACTTCCGGAATCATAGCATAATATGGAACAAATATAGCACACATTTCCATGTTACCTGCAGAAGGATTTTTTCCTGCAAGCAAATGATTTTTTCTGTATCACAGATAGCAGAGAGATGAGCACTAAACTGGCTCCATATTCCACTATATTTCATGCAAAAGCTGGAATATGATACAGAAATTAACAGTAATGGAAATATTAGGAAAATTGGAACTAACTGCTGGGTGAATGCAGCCTAAGTGCTACTCAAGGTAGACCCCTTGAAATGAATGGCCCTAAGTTAAGTCATGACCATCCATTCCAAAATGTCTCCCCTGAGCAGGACTAGCAATGGATGCAGCCCAGTATTTTTCTATGGCAGGATGACTTTTTTCTTCCGCAAATAAACACAGCCTGCTCCTTGCATATTGCAGCCGTGTCTGAATCATTAACCATGCATCTTGGGTTTCGATTGTCAGAGCACCAGGAAAAAAATTTGACAGCTGCCCTTTATTTCAGACTCTTAGTGGACGTTTCCCCAAGGTCATATTTGGGAGGGGGGAGGTTGAGTATTAAACCCATTTAGAATTGTAGTGTAACCGTAGTCTTAACCCCACCTAAACCAGTGCCATTCAAAGGTGAAACTGAGTTAAGAGGAGCATGCAGAATGAAGGGTCCCTGAGTGCCTCTGTGGGATGGCCCTTCCTCCTCTCTCACACCTGTATGCTCAGGTGCCTCTACTTTAACCAACGACAAGCCAGGAACCCCCAACACCTGACAGTGCTTGATGCAAGATGGAAGAATCCCAGGAGACAGCAAGTAAAACGATGGCGACCTTTTCCAAACCAGCCCCGCCATGATGTCAGAACTGGGATGGTCCGTGTAGATGTCTCTACCTTCCCTTTGGTGGAGAGCTGGCCCAAACCATCAGATCCCACTGCTTAACCTGGTCAGAATGCTCTCCCATTGCCCCAAATTGTGCCCAGCCCAGTGTTTGGTAACAGCAGACATCCGTCTCAACGGCAGAAGCCCCTGCCAGGAAGGAGAGGAGGACCACGGTAAGAAATGTCAACACCTCTGACGGTGGTTCGAGTCTGGCCTGGGTGGTGGTGACAGCTGGTATTAAAGTCAGATCCCTTTTTATCATTAACAAGTTTCTAGTTGCAAAAGGGTGGCAAGTCTTTTCCAGGAACTGCACGGAGAGCGGGAACAGGAGCGGAAAAGCAACTGGCCCATGTTTTAAAGGCAATGGGAAAATTTCAGCTGGCGCAACGGCAGGCAGAGCGCAGAGTTTCCGGGAGCTGGGTGTTATCTACAGCAGCCAAGGTCTCCATTTATTGGCCTCTCCCAAGGTGCCCCCCGCTGCCAAGGAGCTCCTCACAGCCCTCCATCCTTTTGTCCCTCCAGCCATGCCCTTCTCAGCTCCAGGACTTCCCTTCCGTACGAGTCATGGAGTCTGGAAAAGCAGCTTGGGCTGCCAGAGCCCTCTGAACTACAGGAATTGCCCGAGAGAGCCCTCCTTCGAGGAGGCAGCGGTGGGGGCTTCAGACCCCCATCGAAGCTGTCCTCCCCACAGGTCCTGGTGCTCCAGGAGTTGGCTTGGGGGTACCCCCCCGGCAGGCTGGTTGGGCCTTCGGAGTTGTACCAGAGGGCGCAGCCATTTTCTTTTGCCGGGATGCAAATCGGGACGGACGGCTTCTCCGGGAGCAAGTCCTGTGAATTCAGCGCCATTTTGTTCTTCCGGTAAAGCGGCGCCCTCCGCTGGACCCGGTGGCAGCCGGAAGAGGCCTTCTGCATTTCCTCCAGCTGTTTCTCCAGCTCCCTCACCAGCAGCCGCAGGTAGCCAAAGCTGGCGCGAGAGAGGGCCTTGACCCAGCTCTCCATGGCGGCCTGGCTCTCCGCCGCCAAGACGTAGGTGCGGGACTTGGCGCAGTCAAAGCGGATGGCGAAGGCGAACTCTTCCGTGGACTCGCACAGCTCCACGGTGCAGCCCTCCAGGATGACGACGCCCACCGGCTCCCGGCTCTCCCGGTCCTCAAAGTAGAAGAGCATGTTTCCCCTCAGCACAAACCAGCGGCGGTGGTAGGCCGTGTTCCTCTCGCCCTTCTTGTAGAGGAAGCCGGCGTTGTCCGCCGGGGCGTCGCAGGTGGCGTAGAAGGCCACGCTCCGCTCGTTCAGCTTCATGTTCGCTTGGGCCTGGAAACGAGGAGGGAAAGAAGAAAGGTTGAGGCTCCCCAAAGCCGTAACCAACCCCTGGCAGGAACCAGGAGATCTATCAGGCCTGGAAGCCAGGAGATGTCGGCTATTTTGAGCCCTCTTCTGGAGGCATAAAATGGCCGCAGCCTCCGCCCCATGTAGCTGAAGAGATTCAGGAGAGGCAAGAGGAGGGGCTTTTTCACACAGCGCTTAGTTGTAACTATGAAATTTTGCTCCCACAGTATACAGCAACGGTCACGGCTGGGATGGCTATGAAAGGCGTGCGGGCAAATTCGTGGAACTTAACACTACTGGTTGTAATGACTATGCGCTACACCAGCACTGGGGAACTAACTGAATTCCCCTTACGAGCATCACAAGTCAAGGGTCCTACTGATCTTGGGTCCTTGTTTGCGGGATTCCCACTGGGGCACCCAGGTGTTGTTGTTTTTTGGTGTTTTTTCCCTGGATAAATATGGACATTTCAACTTTATTGGATGTATAAAGATTCTTTCTACAGCGATGCAGCAAGAACCGGTGCCATGCAGAGCTGGAGAGGAGGAGGTTCTGTTCAGTCCAGACACCCGTCAGCTCACACAGCCCAAGAACAGGCTGCACAACGACAGTATTTTGGCTCTCTCCAAGGATTGCAACAGCAAAGCCTGCTGATCTCTCTCTCTCTCACTGGCACCCCACTCAAGTATTAGGTTATTTTGGTGATGGGAAGATAGGAAGCAGCCACCAGTGGAAGTCTGCAACAGCAGCATGGATTAAGGCTGAAGATGGAGGTGCTGTCACATTTCCAAAGAGTCTGGGGTGGTTGCTGGTACATCAACATTCAAGCAAGAACGAACCACAAAGGGATGCTTATGTTCCCAACCTACCTATTAAAAAACAGTACAATGGCAACAAAGCCAGGTAACTGGACCACAAGAGGGAGCCAGTGCAACTACCGTATTTTTCGCTCTATAAGACGCACCAGACCACAAGACGCACCTAGTTTTTGGAGGAGGAAAACAAGAACAAAAATATTCTGAATCTCAGAAGCCAGAACAGCAAGAGGGATCACTGCGCATTGAAAGCAGCAAATCCTCTTGCTGTTCTGGCTTCTGGGATAGCTGCGCAGCCTGCATTCGCTCCATAAGACGCACACACATTTCCCCTTACTTTTTAGGAGGGAAAAAGTGAGTCTTATAGAGCAAAAAATACGGTATTTGCAGGACCACCAGCTTCTGAGAAAACTAATAGCAGCAACAGGGCCAGAGGGGCTAGTGTAGGGGCCTGTCCTTCCCCTGTCTACCGCCCCCAAGGATGAAGGATCTCCTGCCATAGATTAGCCACACCTACACAAGTGACATCATGACAGATTCTTACAGTTCTGAAGAGCCTTTGAATAACCTCAGAGCCAAAACAGGTAAGGTTACAAGACAGCAAGCACAACGCAGAGGACGAGAGACCTAGAGCGCAAAGGAAGACAAGGGCAGGCCTACACATCAAGGGCCAGCCCTCATTAACTTGGAGGAGGAAGAGAAAACGCTTTACAATCAAACCGCAGGGCACGATTCACGTCCCATATCTCTGCTTGCTCCCACTCCCACTTACAAAATGGCAGTAGCAGCAGTACAGGTTTGCAGCAGCATTGCACCCAGGACAAGCACCACCCTTCCAGGGTCCAGCATCAATTATTTGAGGGATCTCAATGGCTCAGGAAAGAGAGCTGGGAAGAAGGCAGGGTGCCCTCACAACACAACTCCAGACTGGCACTAGGAAGAAGGCATGCTAGCACAATAGCAGGAAGGGAGTTCAGCACAGATGGAAGGCCGCCTCCTTTAAACAAAGTGGGGCACCCAGTTGTCCACTGCGGGAACAGGATGCTGGGCTAGATAGGTCCCCTTTGGCCTGATCCAGACACTGGGCTCTTCTGGTTTTCATTCATGCCCAACAACACTTCAGCCCTGCCTGAGAGGTACAGTGGTGCCCCGCAAGACGAATGCCTCGCAAGACGAAAAACCCGCTAGACGAAAGGGTTTTCCGTTTCTCGATGCACTTCGCAAGACGATTTTCCCTATGGGCTTGCGCTTTTTTTCGCCCCCCCCCCTTTTCTAAGCCGCTAAGCCACTAATAGCCTTTTAGCCGCTAAGCCGCTAAGCCTTTAATAGCCGCTAAGCCGCTAATAGCCTTTAAGCCGCTAAGCCTTTAATAGCCGCTAAGCCGCTAATAGCGCTAATCCGCTAATAGGGTTGCTTCGCAAGACGAAAAAACCGCTAGACGAAGAGACTCGCGGAACAAATTATTTTCGTCTTGCGAGGCACCACTGTACCCAAATTTCAGGCTGAATCTCACAAACATTGTTCCCCGGCTCAGCTCCCCCCCCCCCCGCGGATTCTTCCTAAACAATTTATTGCCAAATAAGGCAATAACCTCTGGAGTTAAGGTGAGCGTGCAAGTTCAAAGGAAATCAGTGTATCAGTCCATCCCCACATCTCAATTCTCTGCCAAGAATTGCAGCTGGTTTTTTAGGTAGCTTTCCTAATCCTGGGCTGCTCACACAGCTGAGATCTAAGGTCTTGCAAGGGAGCTTTGCAAGAGATTAGACGGGGTTATCTCACTGCTCAAGTGTAGGAGAGTTTCTTAATTGCAAGGATTTATTATTGTTTTTAATTTTATTTTCAGTTTTCAAAAGTTCAGTTTTCAAAAGTTCACCTTACAATCACATACTTCCAATACAAATACATATTAGACTCCCCCCCCCCTTTGTGGTTTTTTGTCCTGTTTAAATTTTTAACACTGCATTTCCTACTTTACTCCATTTTAAAGTTATTCTGCAATTTACCTTGAAAATAATTTTAACTGCTTAAGTTAACCCTACTAATGCACTTACTTGCATACCATAATTTTTCAGATATTCCACAATTTCCCCCCACTCTTTTATTATTATTTCCCCCGTCTTGGCTTCTTATTACACCTGTTCTTAATTGCAAGACATTAGCTCCTTTGTCAGCAAGTTAAACAGGTAAAAGGTAAAGGGACCCCTGACCATTAGGTCCAATCACAGATGACTCTGGGCTTGCAGCGGTCATCTCGCTTTATTGGCCGAGGAAGCCATGTGGCCAGCATGACTAAGTCGCTCCTGGCTAACCAGAGCAGCGCACGGAAACGCCATTTACCTTCCCACCGGAGTGGTACCTATTTATCTACTTGCACTTTGATGTGCTTTCGAACTGCTAGGTTGGGAGGAGCAGGGACCAAGCAACGGGAGCTCACCCCGTCACGGGGATTCGAACCACCGACCTTCTGATCGGCAAGTCCTAGGCTCTGTGGTTTAACCCACAGTGCCACCCGCGTCCCTAAGTTAAACAGGAGATGCATAAATTAAAACATTTTTAAAAAATGGAGAACAACTTTTTAATTTGGGGCTCACACACACAAATCATGACAGTGAACAGCAACTTAAATGCGTTTGCTTTCAGATCACATTAGCTGAAAAAATGCAGGTGAAGTTTTTGAGGTGAGGTGAGTAGAACAATGATGAGCACTTTCCTCGCAGCACTCAGCCCCTCACAAGGCCAAGGTGTGACACCTCCAAAATCTGCACGCTTTCTCTAAACACCACCAGCATCTCCGCATTGTCGGCTGGGCAAATGTGCATATGGCAACTTGGTGACCCAGAGGGGGGGAATGTGGATGTGACTGACAGCTGTTTCCAGGATCGAAAAAACAAACAAGGAGGAAGCTCTTCAATGCCAATTCACTTCCTCTATTCTAATCTTAGCAGTTTTTGCTAACACATTTTAAAAAAAAACAGAAGGAAAGAAAGAAGCAGGAAAAGGTTTTGACTACTGAGAAAGTTGCTAATCGGGTCAAACAACTCATCCTGCCCTCCTGGTGCTGAGTAACTCTCCTGAGGATGTGCTCCCTTCCAGCCATCTCTTTCCCCTTCTTGCCACTGCATCTTCTGAGGTCATTTGCTTTTAAGGAGGAGCTGGGGGGGGTTCTAAAGTTATCTCCCACTTGGACTACTGCAATGCGCTCTACGTGGGGCTACCTTTGAAGGTGACCCGGAAACTGCAATTAATCCAGAATGTGGCAGCTAGACTGGTGACTGGGAGCAGCCGCCGGGACCACGTAACACCAGTCCTGAGAGATCTGCATTGGCTCCCAGTACAATTCAAAGTGTTGGTGCTGACCTTTAAAGCCCTAAACGGCCTCAGTCCAGTATACCTGAAGGAGCGTCTCCACCCCCATCGTTCAGCCTGGACACTGAGGTCCAGCGCCGAGGGCCTTCTGGCGGTTCCCTCATTGCGAGAGGTGAGGTTACAGGGAACCAGACAAAGGGCCTTCTCGGCAGTGGCGCCCGCCCTGTGGAACTTCAGATGTGAAGGAAATAAGCAGCTATCTTCTCTTTAAAAGACATCTGAAGGCAGCCCTGTTTAGGGAAGTTTTTAATATTTAATGCTGTATTGTTTTTAACACTCGATTGGAAACCGCCCAGCGTGGCTGGGGAGACTCAGTATAAATAATAAATTATCATCATCATCATCTGTTTACCCACTCCATTGCTTCAAAGAGGCCCTTCCTTGTTCGCAGAACCTTGAAGAACATAAAAAGAGTCCAGAGGCTGGATCAGGCCCAAGGGGGCCCACCTAGTCCAGCATCCTCTTCCCACGGTGGCCAACCAGATGCCCCATGAAAAAAACCGCAAGCAGGACCTGGGTGCGAGAGCAGCACTCTTTCCTCCTGTGGCTTCCAGCAACTAGGGTGCAGAAGCATTTATTGTCTCCAGCCATGGAGGGAAAGCACAGCCATCAGTCCTAGCAGCCACCCGCAGCCTCGTCATGAATTTGTCCATGTGGGCATGTTCAGGGAGGCAGGAGAGGATATATTGTTTATTAATATCCTTCCTAACTTGCGCTAGCAAGTTCTTTTACTCTTTACCAAGTTTTACATTCCCCTTTTAAACGCACAGCGGATAGCTGGTTGCAGGCTTGTGTAAGCCTCTCACTATTAGGTTCCTGGTAAGTTCCCTTATATCCCTCTTAAAAGAATAAACACGCCACAATCTTGTTTAAAGTCAATAAAAGAAGTTTACTCACATCATCAGCTCACAGTTGGATCCCTAAAGGCAGACTTAGTTAAAGATATATACATGTGGATCTATCCCATATGAGGATAATCCTAGTGTCCTCTGTTGGCTGAAAGCCAACAGGGCATTTCTAGCTAAAAAGCTGCTCCAGCAACAGAGGAAGTCAAAGAGAGAGAATGTGTTGCGTGTCTCATCCTTTTGTTACCTGGGCAGGTGAGGTCACGCCCACCTCTAGTCACATGCAAAGGAAGAATGTCCCAGCCAGGAGTAAACAGGAAGTTTTTGACTGGCTAGACTAAACATCCCCCCGCATGCCCACTCTAGGAAAACAAGGAATGTTGTACTTGACTGCTTCTTACGTATCACATCCCGCAGTCCAAGCCTCTTCTATGTTTTCAGCTTGTTTTATTTTAACTGCGTAAGCAGTCTTGAGTCCCAAACTGGGGGAAAGGCGGGATATAAATAGCACAACACAACACAACACAACATGAGGTTGGATGGCCATGTGTCAAGGATTCCAGCATTGCAATGGGTTAGATCAGGCCTTTCCAACTTTGCAGTCCTATGATCCAAAGCTGAATTGAAAGCTGTCGTTTTCCATGGCTCTATGCGGTAGTGATCAGAGGGCACCGCTCTGCCCCTGCCACCTCTATGATGCAAGCCCTACCAGCCTGGCATAGACAATCAAGGGTGGCAAGAGGCCTGTGCTTCTAAAGGAGGACCCTGCTGGGCTCAAGCGCACCTCCCAGAATCCATCACGGTCAGTAAGTGTTCCTGACAAGCAAGGTGGATGTAGGAAGAATCACCTGAAGCTAAGAAGTGCAGGAAACCAGAAGCTGCCCTCAAATCAGCCTTTTGGCCAATGATGCAAATAACCAATGGTTAGGAATGATGGGGCTTGTAATCCGCCAACTTCTGGAGGGCCACATCTGGATGTTCGCCCCGCCCCACCCCAGAACAAATCCCTGCCATGCTTGGGACTAATCTTGCTCAGCCCAAGGACCAAAGCCTGAAAATGGATGCAGTCGAAGCAAAAAATATATACCTATATGCTCGCTTTTCTGCAGTAACAGCACAATCCTAACCATTCCTACTCAGACGTAAGTCCTACTGAATTCAACAGGGCCTACTCCCAAGAAAGTGCGATTGCAGTCTTACTGGTTCCTATGGTTATATTAACCAATTGGATTATGACATCATTAAGAAGCTATTTTATCAATTTATCGCTTTAATAAAAATACATACACCCTCCCCCACCCCCAGCGCCGTAAGATGTTGACTCGATTCCTCCCTTTTCTTCTTTCTCCCATAGTTAAATCCATCTGCTTCCACACTCACTACCTTTGACATAAAAAAGAATTGCTGATTTAACGGGGGCGGATGCTATGCTATGTTAGATGTGAAAAGAACGTATTTATTTATTTTATCCAAGTACTTAACAAAAGCCCCAGGTAATAACATTCCCTCTTTGTAAGGGAGAGTCCCGTTGAATTGAGAGGGGTTTACTTACACGTAAATATCTGTCATCAAGGCTGGGAGGCTGCAGTTCTAAACCCAAAATGGGAAGGAACTTCCTTCTTTGAAACAGGAAAAAAAAAATCTGGATTTTCTTGCTGGTCACAGGCGTCTCACTTTAAACTTGGCTCTGAGAAGGCAATAATAGAAAATTTCAGTTTTCACAATGGAAAGGCAATGTTTCATCTCCATCCAGACAACCCAGGATGTAAAAGGCATGAGGCTATGCAGTCATCGGTGTGTCAAATGGTTAAGCAATGGGCACCAGGCATGAATCCATCGCCAAAGCTGTGCATATTTGGGTATGTCTACCAAACGTTAAGCAATCTTAAGGACAGCTGTTGTCTTTCTTAGGAGGCATCACCTTAGAAGAGATATCTGTCTCCGACTTGCACACCAGATTCCCAGAGTCCCAGATTCAACTCCCAATGGCATCTCCAGGTAAGATATCCTGCCTGAAATCCTGCCCGCCAGTGTGGGCGACTCTGAACTATATGGACCAAGGATCTGAGTCTGCCAAAGGCAACTTCCTGTGTACTTGTTGGGCTGCATGGTGGTGTCTGTCACACAGCAGGCAGCAGACACAACTTCAGGAGAGGAATCTTCTCCCACCGTGGAAGGGAAGTCCTCTTATCTAAGATGGCATTGGTGGTCCTTTGAGAAGAGGCATTCTCTCTTTTTAAAAAAATTAAATTCCATAATAAATTTATTAGGAGAAGAGGCACTCTCACCCAGGAGGTCCTTCAAGATGCCACCTGCTGCAACGGTTGCCCTGCCCCATCCTCTCACCCCTTCAACACTGTCATTTTACTCACCTGCAAACTTTTCAATCTGTGAAAACTTGTGCAATTAATCAACTCAGTTTTCTTTTCACCGGGTGACTCTCCTAATTAACCTTTCCTCGCATGGGTACTTAATATGGGCTAGTTACTCCTTAGCTAATCAACCCACCCACCCCCGTTGTACTCACAGGCGAGACCGAAATCTCTCCATACAGAGATGAAGCTAAACTGTCAAGTACCACCAGTATCCCACCGCCTAACCCCGTCGTGACCTCCAAGCTAGCCTGCTGGTCTCCCCAGCAGTGTTGAAGCGAGACCCAGTTGCCAGTCGGCAGTGGGGGACTCCCGTCCTTTGAGAACACAAGAAAAGCCCTGCATGAATCAGGCCCATAGCCTATCGAGTCTAGCATCCTGTTCTCAAAGCCACCAACCAGGTGCCTGTGGAAAGCCAGCGAGCAGAATCCAAGCACAACTCTCCCCTCCTGTGGTTTTCAGCCACTGACATTCAGAATCATTTCTCCCTCGGACCACAGAGACAGATTGCCCTCTAGTCCACGGATTTTTCCTCCAAGAGCATTTCCTCTGCTCTCTAACCCCGAGTTCTGGAATGATAATATTCCATGATCACCCTCCTTCCTTTGAGGTTGGCGGTTAAGACCCCTGCGCCACACTGGCCTGATCTGTGTATCTACTGAAAATGTACAAACATTATATATTAATATCAACAGTAATAATAATAATAGGGACGCAGGTGGCGCTGTGGGTTAAACCACAGAGCCTAGGACTTGCCGATCAGAAGGTCGGCGGTTCAAATCCCTGCGCCGGGGTGAGTTCCCGTTGCTCGGTCCCTGCTCCTGCCAACCTAGCAGTTCGAAAGCATGTCAAAGTGCAAGTAGATCAATAGGTACTGCTCTGGCAGGAAGGTAAACGGCATTTCTGTGCGCTGCTCTGGTTCGCCAGAAGCGGCTTAGTCATGCTGGCCACATGACCCAGAAGATGTACGCCCCTCAGCCAATAAAGCGAGATGAGCGCCGCAACCCCAGAATTGGCCACAACTGGACCTAATGGCCAGGGGTCCCTTTACCCTTTACCTAATAATAATACAGTGGTACCTTGGGTTAAGTACTTAATTCGTTCCGGAGGTCCGCACTTAACCTGAAACTGTTCTTAACCTGAAGCACCACTTTAGCTAATGGGGCCTCCTGCTGCCGCTGCGCTGGCGGAACACGATTTCTGCTCTCATCCTGAAGCAAAGTTCTTAACCCGAGGTACTATTTCTGGGTTAGCAGAGCCTGTAACCTGAAGCGTATATAACCCGAGGTACCACTGTAGTGGTAGTAGTAGTAGTAGTAGTAGTAGTAATAATAATAATAATAATAATAATAATAATAATAATAATAATAATAATAATAATAATAATTAATAATTCTATTGTCTGCCCTTCACCCTGAGGCCACGGGGCCGGTTGCAGCACAGTGCCAAACAGCTGGCAATCGCATATACGTGTACACGCCAGGCACCCAGACTCTGCCCATGCCCACGTGCCCCCTGCCCCAAGGTCCCCTGCGCCCCTTCCCCTCTCCAGGGGGCGTGTCGCGGGAGGGAAGGGGAGCCAAGGGGACCCCCCCCCGCCCCAGTCTCGAAGCTTGGCCCCCGCACCTCGCTCGCCCTCCTGGGGAGGCGGGGAAGGAGAGGCGCGCGCCCCTTGGCCATGTGCAAAGCGCGCGCCCCGGTGGCTTCTCGGCGGGCCCCTCTCCTTGCCGGGCGCAGGCTCTCCGCTCGCCAGCCGGGCAGCTCCTTTTGTCCGGCGGGGCTGGGCGCTGCGCCCTGGCCCGGCCGCCTCCGGCTCCGCCTTCTCCGGGCTGGCAAAGAGCCCCGCCGCCGCCGCCGCGCTCCGGCCGCCCCTCGCCTTCCGCTTGCCGCCGGGGGCGCTTGGGCAGCTGCGCTCAGCAGTGGGGAGGGGCGCGCAGTGGAGGTGGGTGGGGGGCGTCGCTTGCTGCTCTCTCTCTCTTTCAAATGCCATTCCTATGTTTTAGATCGTGGGTAGGCAAACTCAGGCCCGGGGGCCGGATCCGGCCCAATCGCCTTCTAAACCTGGCCGCGGACGGTCCGGGAATCAGCATGTTTTTACATGAGTAGAATGTGCCCTTTTATTTCAAATGCATTTCTGGGTCATTTGTGGGGCATAGGAATTCCTTCATTTCCCCCAAAAAAGTATAGTCTGGCCCCCCACAAGATCTGAGGGACAGTGGACCGCCCCCCTGCTGAAAAAGTTTGCTGACCCCTGTTTTAGATCAGCGACAGCCACTATGGCACAGATGTAAACAAGGCACATGTATCCACTGCCTTGTTGGACATCTTTGGGAGAAGAAAAGGATAAGGAGTAAACCCTACAGAAATCCAGAATAGAGTCCCTAAGCCCTTTCGATGGCACTTTGCGTATGCCTCCTGCAACCGAGCTGGTGCCAAATATATTGCCCTGCATTCCTTTGGACCACATCAGCCAGGCTTGTGGTCTGGGCAGCCCAGGACCTCCAGACCACAACCCAGGTTTGTGTCCTGGGCTGGGAGGGGTCACTTCGGTGCTAGTTCAAGCTATGGTTTTCCCAGTAGTGATGTATGGAAGTGAGAGCTGGACCATAAAGAAGGCTGATCGCCTTTTGAATGGATGGATGCTTTTGAATTATGGTGCTGGAGGAGACTCTTGAGAGTCCCATGGACTGCAAGAAAATCAAACCTCTCCATTCTGAAGGAAATCAGCCCTGAGTGCTCACTGGAAGGACAGATCCTGAAGCTGAGGCTCCAAGACTTTGGCCACCTCATGAGAAGAGAAGACTCCCTGGAAAAGACGCTGATGTTGGGAAAGATGGAGGGCACAAGGAGAAGGGGACGACAGAGGACGAGATGGTGGGACAGTGTTCTCAAAGCTACCAACATGAGTCTGACCAAACTGCGGGAGGCAGTGGAAGACAGGAGTGCCTGGCGTGCTCTGGTCCATGGGGTCACGAAGAGTCGGACACGACTAAACGACTAAACAGCAACAAGGCAGCAGTTAAACTTCGCCCCTGGAGGTACACTCCATTGTCTCTCGAGACAGGCAAATGCCAACAACAACAATATATTTGTGCATGCTTAAATGCCACCTTAGGGGGGTTCCCAATTAAAATACAATGCATTACAGCAGCAATGCTGAATTCATTAATCAGCTGGAGAACACGGGCACACACCCCAAAACCCACACACACCACTTTCTAAAATACAGGGGGACTCCCAAATACATCATCATCATTTAAATATATATATCTCACCCTTGATCAAGAGACTACAGGGCAGCTGACAGCATAAAACACAAAACACTTAATATAATAATAGTAAAAGGGGGGTGGGAAGTCTTTTGTCATTTTGCCCAGGTGACCTTGGTGGCCAGGAAGACATTTTATTTTACTAGCTGTGTCTGGTACATCAGCTATGGCTGCATCAAGATCAGGATCCTTTGGCTGCTGTATTCCATGCCTTGGTAACCTGGAAGCTGGATTGCCGCAATGCGCTCTGTGTGGGGCTGCACTCGGGGTCTGGTCTGGTCTGGAAGCTCCAGCGGGTGCAGAGCGCAGCTGCCCAATTGCTGATGGGGGCATCTGGTCAGGGACATGGGGCTCCCTTGCTTTTTTTCTTGCTTTTTTAAAAAATCATTTGATTGGTTTTGCAAATGCAAAGTTATAAACAAAGAAACCCTTTTGTTTCTAAAAAAAACACTCCCATTGGCTCTATCAATGGACATCTGCTTGATGAGGTTACGGTGTTCCTCAATTTTCAGCGTCTTGGGGATGGGCTTTGGAGTTGGAGATGTATAATTCGTTTGGGGACAACTTAAGGTAACTAAGCCATGATCTCAGGTGTTTGTCTTCCTGCTTTAATCCTGCTTTGTCATACATCAATGTTTGCTGTGTTTGCAGATCTGGATCTATGCATTTGAATCAGCCTCCCACCTTCCTCTTATCCACTAAGCAGTTAGGGGATATGGGCCAAAAATGTAGTTCCTCCGATGTCTCATTGTGCTCGTTCTTCTTGACCAGTCTACTTCTGAGTATGTCTAGTCTGTCCAAGATTTCATTTTGGGCTGAGGGCTGCAGTGACCAGAAACGGTTTATTAAGGCTTGTTCTTCCGCAGAAACGGAGTCCTCACTGTCTCTTGTAGGAGGTTGAATATTAAAGGATGTACCTTTCATTTTTTAAAATTGATTGATCTTGTTTGTGATGGTCCAGCTGGCTCATTTGGGATCTGTTTTGTTGTTTAGGTTTTTTTTTCTCTTTTTGATCCTCTGTTTCTAGCATCCTATCACCCCTGGGGGGCAAAAGAATCAAAAAGTTTATTTGTATAAAGAGATTCCTCCGAATCTCAAGGCTTCCCCCCATCCCCTCCATAGGGTCCCATTTTAAACATTTAGTACTGCATATTCTTTCATGCACCAATTTCTATATCAAACCATTGTTTGATTACCATTGAATAATTACCATTGAATAATTACCATTGAATAATTACCATGGTAATTATTGAACTACAAGTGAGATCAAAATCCTGCTAATGTTTCCATCTGCTTACAGTGGTCTCCTAAATAACTTACAAATATTCCCCATTCTTTTATAAAGTTTTTATCCTCTTGGTTTCTGAGTTTTGCAGTCAATTTTGCCATCTCAGCATAGTCCATCAGCTTCGTTTGCCATTCCTCCCTGGTAGGGTCTTTCTCTTCTTTCCATCTCTGAACTAATAACATCCTGGCGGCTGTTGTTCCATACATTAAAAGTCTCTTCTGCTCCTTTGGGATATCAGTACCTGTAATTCCTAATAGAAAAGCTTCTAATTTCTTAACAAAAGTTATTTTAAACATTTTCTTCATTTCATTGTACTGTATCATCTCCCATAAAGCTTTTACAGTATTACCTTACAAGTCAAGCGCATATGATAAAAGGTACCTTCTTTTTCTTTACATTTCCAACAAGTATTTGTAGTTGGCCTATACATTTTTGCCAACTTGGTAGGGGTTAAATACCACCAGTACATTTTCTTTCAATGCCGTAAATTTCAAATCTGTTTTACATGGCCTTTCCCAATCTACTATCTGAATATTATGTCCCGGGTCCTTTGTCCAGTGTATCATTACTGACTTGACCTGTTCATCTTTTGTATGCCACTCTAGAATCAAGCTGTACATCCTGGACAGTAATTTAACATTATTTTCTAACAGATCTTTTTGAAATATTGATACAGTGGTACCTCAGGTTACATACGCTTCAGGTTACATATGCTTCAGGTTACAGACTCCGCTAACCCAGAAATAGTACCTCGGGTTAAGAACTTTGCTTCAGGATAAGAACAAAAATCGTGCTCTGGCGGTGCGGCAGCAGCAGGAGGCCCCATTAGCTAAAGTGGTGCTTCAGGTTAAGAACAGTTTCAGGTTAAGAACGGACCTCCGGAATGAATTAAGTACTTAACCTGAGGTACCACTGTATTTCACAACTAAAACCTTTCTTTTCATCTGTCTTGAAAACATCATTTAATTGGTGAAACTGTAACCAGTGGGACTCCCTTGCTGAAATATCTGCGCTCGCTGGCTGCCCATCTAGCGCCGAGCCAGTCTCAAGGTCCTTGGGTCAGCATGCAACGCCCTGCACAATTTGAGCCTGGGATACCTTAAGGGCCACCTGAGCTTTTATCCGGAGGAGGACCAGCCAGGTCACAGAAGCCCAACAGAACTCAGCTGGAAGTTGGGCATTTTGTGTTGCTGGTTCCAGGCTGTGGGAGACCTTTTAAAAAAATATATGTCAGCAGACTTTGCAGGTGTTGCCGGCCAGTATAATGATTAACTGTACTGTTTTAGTTTTGTGCTTTCAGCATTGCACACAGTCCTAACAGTTTCTGCTACGGCTGTACAGAAATGCTTTTTTAAAATTAAGTTGTTGGGGAGGCAAGGAGAAGTGTAGCTTGCCAGGCCAGGTGGAAAAGGGCAGCGTGTGGGAAATGAGTCAGTAATCACCAGGAATCACAGGATATTGAATACCATTTGGAAAAGGAAATCGGAAAATGCGAGTGGAGGGAATGAATTGACTTGTTTGAGCCCCATTCAGCTTATCATAACAGTATTCTGGCTGCCTGGAGCCCTGGTCTCACTCGAGGACAGGACAGAGCTGGTGTCAGAGGCTGACACTAGCAGCGAGTCAGGTGAGATATCTGTGGAGGCCTAGAGACTACTGTTAATGGAGAAATCTGAGGGCTGCCTTGGACAAAAAACCAAGGACACCAGACAGGAATACCAGAGCAAAACAGCAGCCAGTAGGCTTGGTCTTTATTGAAGACTGTCGCGACAGGACTCCCACCTGCCACCAGGTGAAACAAAATGGAAGCCCAGAACAAAAGAAGACCCCAACTTTTATTAGTTACTAATCCCCCAAACTACACCCCTAAAACTACATCACAACTACATCACAAAAAGGAGGGGTTGAGGGAGGAGTTGTGGTGGTAACCTGAGTGTCCTGTCACCTGGCTGGTTCCTCCTTTCCCCCTCCCCATGAATACTTTCCAGGTGACAAAGGGGAGTTTGCAGTTTCCTGTCCCCAGAGGGAAGAGCTGATCATCGTCCTTTGTTCCAGTCCATGCTGAATCCACTCCTATATGCAAGTTCTTTGTGACCTTGGTGGTCTTCTGTCTAGGACCATCAGGGTTGGCATAGGAACTGGGCAGGGCTCCTGTTATGTGCTGGTATGCTCAAGGGATTATGGCTGCCCTGTATCAAACCTTCCCCATTTTGTAGTCCTTCCTTCATGGAGTAAAATAAAAGTGGAACGGTGCAGATCCGATGTGTGGTTGATTTTCTATGAATTTATAA